TTTGAGGCGACAGATTATATAGAAGTTTAATAGCAATAAATAGAATGAAGGGATCTAGAATGTTTTTAAAAGATCTCAAATTCAAAAATTGAATTTTAAAAATCCTCAAAGAAAATGGAATATTACACAAAGGTCATGAATGTGATATGTTTGTAAAGAGGTAATAAGTTCAAATTAAAATTTTAATGAAATAAGTTCCTGATCTTAGCAATGCTAATCAGTGTAAAATTGAGAGAAAGTAGGAGCATCGCCATTAATGCAGATAAAGCATTGATGGGAAGCATGTTTTAGTAAGAAAAGACTAGAGGTTTGGCATGTGTGAAAGATAAAAAGGCCCTTGATAAGGCTAGTAGTAGTGTCAGACGAAGGCGAGCAAGACACACGAGGAGGATAAAGAGTAAAAGAGAATTGATGGTTATGGCAAAAAAGTTTTGTTTTGTCTCTTCTCAAGAGGTTGTTTGCAAGTGTTTTAGTAGTCAAGTGTAATAGTCACTGAAGAAGACGGTACGATTGAACACCATACGGGACAAAGGCGAGCGAGATACATGATGAGGATAAAATCTAAAACAGAAAGTGCTGATGGCTAGAATTGATCTCCACATAATCTTTCCCACCTATATAATATCCAATTGTGAGGGGGAAAAGATTTTACTTAAAGTTCAATCACATCGTTACGATAGGATTAAGAAGTACAGAATATTAAGTCCTAGGGAGTCTTGCTTTAGGGATAGTGCCATTTTCCAGTGCCCTGATCACTATCTAGGGTAATTCAAGGGTAGTTAATCTTTATTATAAATAAGGTCAAATGCATATAGCAAATAACCGTAATATATCATCCTATCCTATGTCATCTTCTGTCACACATGGTTAGCATTGTACTTATCTTATCTTAATGAGTAGTGGTTGAATGGTTGATTAACTACAGTTAATTAAAACAACCTTTGTAAATTTTATATCCATATGGTACTGATATAAAGGGTGAAAATGTCACGCGATAATGTTATCATGCCATATAAGTATATCACATCATCATCCATTATAGCATATCAGCATATCACATTAACACCACATGACATTAAATGACATGTGACTATTTGACTAATCTCAAAACCCCAATTTGAGCCATGATTGACACAAAAGCCTAATGGACAAAACCTACTAAACCTAAGCAAGTCTCATAATTTACAGTCACACATTTTTATGTAATGTATACTTATCTTATACATGAATATATATCCTTCATTCTATATTTCTATATTCAAAAAGATCAATATATTGCACAACTGTGTGCTAAGATCATCCACAATATTTACACACACACACACACACACACACATATATATTCAGTATACAATTGTAGAAAGTTTATCACCCGATGGCTACATCACTATGTGTTCTAACATCTCATAAATACAAAATGAATACAAGACTAGACAGCAGAGTTGACACCGAGGCTCGATAATGCTACTGAATGCCTTTAATGTAAATCTACCAAAAGGTGAGTGGACACCTCTCTAAGACTCAAGCTTTAGATGATCTATGGATATGAAAACCAAAAACATGAGTTTGAAATAGGTGAATATATAATCTAGTGAGTGAACATGGGAATGAAACAAGCATATGAATGGAGGAACTTGGTATAAACCATGCCTTTAGTTTGAAACCATGCACTTTTAGCTTTGAAACCAAATACATGATGCAATTATGTAACTGGTCACATTTGATGATATTCCATGGTAATAAAATGAGTACATAAACATTGGGAAGTTTGAATAGTGGTGACAAACATTCCTGCGTGAAAAACAAGTGAAAAACCCACTTATTTGTGAAAACTAGCTATAGAAATTGATTCCCATACTAAGAGTATCAATATTTTTATCTTAGATTTGTTTCTAGATGAAAAGTATCAATACCTAGGATAATAGCTATTGATACTTTTACTCCAAAACATCCATAAAGCCTTTTTTAATGAACAAGTACCGACGCCTTGTTCACAAATTTCCAATTTTTAAGCCATAAACCATTTTTTTTTTCAAAAGCTCTAACTTCATACCAAGGTACTTTGACCTAAACCTCATTTAAAAACATCATAGTTAGAAACTTTTCAAGTAGAGAACACCTTCCAAGGCTCATTTCATTGATCAAATTGAAATCATATATATAAGGTTCTAATTCACAATTCATTAAACCATACAGTTTGGTAGAGCATGCTTATTAAGTACAGAATAATAAGTCCTAATGACTCTTGCCCCTTGGATAGTGCCATTTTCCAGTGC